CGGGTAAATGCTAAAAAGATGGGTTTTTTTGCTGCTTTAACAAGCTGCTGAGCAAAACTGGCAGCTTTGCTGCCACCAGGGAGAGAAATGTTGTTGCCTCCTCTTCCTTCACCCTGGTCTGCATGGATATGCCTTCTGCCTGGCACTGGCTGTGATCCTTCCCTGAGCTGGCTGAGCTCATTAGGCTGGTGGGAAACTGCCCACATCTTTACTTTTCCTGGGTTAGTTTTCTCCTAGGTTAGTGAGTTGATTTAGCTCATGTGAGGGCCAGCTCTGGCCTGCCAGAGCTGGTGCCAAGTGTGCAAGCCCAGGGTATTTTGTCAGCAAGAAGAAGAAAAAAAGGTGTGTGATGGAAGAGAGTAGGCTTGTCCCCTTCTGATAGTAGTGATTTGTTAGACTGGTTCAGCCTGCGTGAAAGAGTTTGTTGCTGTGGATAATGTCCTTCTGTGTGATACAGAAAATTCGGGTAAATCAGTGCAGACCTTTGCCTTGAAGTGCCACTTAGAGACCTTCATGGCGAGTACTTGAAAGGCAGATGCCTTAGGAGCAGGTAGCAGTCAACAGCCACCATCTTCTAGATGGGAACTAACCAAAAAAAAAAAGAGAGTGGTCGTGAAGGTGAGAGCTTCACTGGATCTTCCTGCAATGGCTGTGAGTTGCCATACATCCCGATTCCTGATGCTTACGGGCAAAGAGAGTTATTCTCACTGCTACATCTCTGAGGATTATCCAGACCTTTGTGGTCCAGGTTCTCCTCAGTGGTCTTGCCCTGCAAAAAGGTATCTGTTGATTGATTTCTGGAAAGTACCGATCCACCAGGACTGTGGGTTATTGTAATTGCCGTTAATGGATGGAGTTTATGGAGGGAAAGCACGTGACGCGGGGAGCACTTTCTGCTTTGTCATCCTGCTTGTGGCAGGTTGCCCGAACCAACAAGGGAGAGGCCCCGAGCAGCAGCAGCAGCCTGCCTACAAACCCTTTCAAGTCCCTCCCAGAGGTCATGGTTGCCCTTGGGCTTTGGGGCTGTTGCTAAAGCTGGGCACCTCTAGCACAGATCTACCTGAAAATAATTAGAGATATTTATTTAAACGCTTATGTTGTCTAATGACTAGATTTTTATCTCAGTGAAGATACAGTTTTATGTGAACATTCCTGAGATTGTCCAAACTTGTTATGGGAATAAAATATAAGGCTTTAGTTGCTTCAGGTACCCACAGGACTGTACCTTTGGTAACATATTGAAGAAAAATTTCTCCTTTGTGCAGATCATGGCCACTGTTCAAAACCTGTGTTCTTGCTTTTCCCAGGTGTGCATGTATACACACGGGTGAATTCCTGCCTTCCTTCCCCAAGCCAAACTAGGCCAAGTGTTATCCATCACTAATATTGCTATTAACTATTACAATAATTATTCTGATTTTTAAATCCCTTTACCAACATCAGCAAAGTACTCTTCCCAATACCTTTGTGAGATCAAGGAATTTTATCACCAAGTTTCGGAGAAGAAAAACGAGATGACAAGATTACAGACCAGTTTTCGACAACTGCCTTTTTGCATTTGTGTGTGTGTGTGTGAATCCTCCTCTGGTTTGTGGGCTCAGTGGCCAAGGAAGACTGCCTTTTTGCATTTGTGTGCCTGTGTGTGTGTGTGTGAATCCTCCTCTGGTTTGTGGGCTCAGTGGCCAAGGAATGTATACGCATTCAGTATGGCTGTTTGTCTAAGTATGTGCATGTGCCAGAGTTTGCTAATTAATGCTGGTTGTGCAGTGCAAAGTATGTATGTGATTAAGTACAAACAAGTGTGTACTGACCCATTTGTGGGAGATGAAGTTAAACATAACTCAGAATTATGTGGAAGAAGGCAGAGCTGATAATGGGTTCCAATCAACTATTAGATTTTCTTCTTTGTAATTTTCCATGCCATAGCAAATAAAGTGTCACCATGTGTAAAGATGTTAATTTTTTTCTCTCCACTACTATGCTCAACCTTTTCTATTGGAGATACCTGTATCTCCCATATATATATATATATAAAAGATCAGTTATGATTCCACTAATATGCTCAACCTTTTTCTATTGGAGATACCTGTATCTCCTATATATATATATATAAAAGATCAGTTATGACGAGTGGGCCAACGGATCTTTTCGAGACTTTTGAATACATTTATTTAGAGGATTATAGTATGAGCAATACCATATGGCAAAGATTATTTGGGATGCTGGGGGGTAGGAGTTGCATAGAAAAAACAATTATATCAATAAATTGAACTGAAAGAAGTTTCCAGGGAACTAACTGCAGGAGAAAAAGCAAAACTTTAAGTTCAGTTTTAAAAGTATGAAACGGAATAAAATAACAGCACAGCAGCATAAAAAAATCACTTTCTGGGCAAGAAAAGTAAAAATAATAATTTTCCTTTAAGACTGAAGTTTCAGGTTTAGCCACAGCAAATCTTATTTCCTTGCTTTGTTCCAGACCTACGGTTGGATTGGCTAAACTTACTGAAACCCCAGCCAAATCTCATATGGGATTTTATTAAAAAATAAAATATAGCAAGTCATCCTAACGTTGCAAATGACTCATCGGCCGCCTTAGGAAATGCTCCCCTGGGACAGGCATGCCGCTGATGAGGAAGCGATGAAGCTGCCAGGCCACTCCCCCAGACAATTTCAGTTGAGGAGCACAGCCTTCATAAAGGACGTCTCTCCAGACACTACATTATTTTATCCTTTATTTCACAGAGGGAGCACAGAACCTGCAAGAAGGGCAGTGCGAAGTAACAGCAGGAACTTCACAGACAGTTGGCTTTGTACAGGAGAAGCAAACAGGAGATCATGAGAAAACTTTAAAGGTAGGGGGAGATACATTTTTAAAGTCTATAATTTAGTTTTGATGTTGAAGAATAGTAAGAGCATAGGCTTTCTTTTAAAAATTGTAGTTCTTGGGAGAAGAATGGAGGAAATCCCTTCTCAGGATGGGATTATGGTCATGACCAAGTACCCCCAGTAAATGGGAAGCGGAGCTTCTCAAGATCCTGCCCGCTTTGGAGGGAGGTTCTAGGAGGTGGTTTCAGAGGGGAAGGTGGTCATCTGCTTTGGCTGATCTAAACTTTTAATATGTTTCCATGAAGAATGATAATGAAGAACTAATGAAAAATGAACAAAAACTGAAAAAAAAAAAAAGATATAAGTAGTGATCTAAGCAAATTTCATGAGTAAGTATTGTGGTTTCATTATATGCATCATAAAGATACCGTTTCTGGTAGGTGGGTCTGATGACTGTCTGGGAATTAGTCCACCCTTAAGCTTCATACCATCCTGTTGCCACTGAGGAAACAAGGTGGAGTGCTTTGGAAAAGCATGTCACACTTTCTCTAACTTTATGTCCCTAAATACAAATAAAGTGAAACTGCTTATCATAATGAAATATACGATCCTTTTTCACTCTTACGCAGTTTGAGCCTGGCTGATGGCCATGTTAGAAAAATAAGAAAAAAGGGGAACTGAGCACAAAGTAAGTTCAGTGGCAGGAGTATACATTGGGGTGGCTGAGCAGGGGAGAAGAGGAAGGAAGATGAGGTATTTTTGGATATCTTCACAACAGCCACAGGTGTTTTCTAGGTTTTTTTTTCTACAATTAACATGCTACCCAGGGTTATAAAATGCTATTAAAATGTAACTTTCTGCAGGAAGATGTACAGCCTGAATTTCTGCTGACGCTGCTGTGTAATTTGCTCGAGGGGTAGGGCATTTTTGTCAGTGATGTGGCTGTTCTGGCAGCAGTCTGGAGAGCAGACAGAGTTATACTTACAGAGAGGGAATAATCTAACCTCAGAGGAAGGCGGCAATAGAATGGGTTGGGCAAAAAGGGTTGCTTAATGCAAAACAAAATGACGATGAAAAGAGAAGGGAAACTTTGGGGGTTTTTCTTTCCTTTCATTTACCATGACTATTCCAGTAGTACCGAATCCAGTCCTGACCAGTTAGGCAGATAGAAGCACTTGAATAAAAGCAAGCAGATTTGTGAAGTGTCTAAGTATGGGTTTCTTTATTTACATTTTTGGTCTTAAAAGTTTTGTCACGACTTTGACTGATACTCACTGATTTACAGCAGCTGAAGAATCTGATTTTTACTCACTCTAGATCTTGTCCTACAGTTTGAGAGGCATTGAGAATTTTGCCAGCAACTCCAAAGGCTTGAAGGTCCAAAGCCCTGAAAAATTGGAGCTTTGCAAATTAAGTACGCACTTCAGCTCATTTTAGGAAGAGTATATGAAGACAGTGTAATTTTCTTTGTGGCATACAGCTGTCAAAATGCATTTTAGGACTTATGGGTTGTTTTTCTGTGGTAGGAGTCATCTGATTAAAAAAAAATAATAAAAATCTCTCACGAAACTGTAGGATTACACCTGATCCATTTGACACCAAAGTTAGTTACAATGCAAAACCAAAGCAATGATAAACACAGGCATGTTATAAAAATGTCGTTTTCAGAAATTGTTTACTTCTTTCAGTTCTGTTCATTCAGTTGGTAAGGCTGGTAATTGCAGATTATTACAAAGTTGTATATGATTGTTGTTTTTTCCTACTAATATATGCAGGAGGAGGGGAAAAACACTAATTATTGAAGTCCAGGGCAGATGAAAAGACTAAAATAAATTAGTGGAATGCCTGTGTCAGCAGGTATGTATCTCATCCTGGAGTACACAGTATGAGGAGGCACCGGAGTTGTGTTGATGTGGAAAATTAAGCTCTGCAAGGAAACCCAGGGCTCCAACGAACAAGAAAATTCATAGTTCAATATCTCATAGGTACTGACCTATTCAACGATGGATTAAGAAGATGAAATTTTAAAAAGCTAATTAAAAGCAGAACTCTGAAAATTCAGATGCACTTATATTGCCTTATCACAATATTTACTGATGAAAATACTTATTTTTGAGCACTGTGGAAAATATTTAAATGTTCCCTAATCCTTTTTGTTGCCTTTGTTCAGGCTTATAAGGAAGACAAACCACAGAAACTGCTGGAAATGAACGGACATACATCGGTGCCGCATTCCTACGACTATGATCTCATTGTCATCGGTGGAGGCTCAGGTGGTCTGGCAGCTGCCAAGGTATGAGAGAGAAAATACAGACTTATACTTTCCTTGTAAGTAGGTGGATAACATCCTCAATGTCTTGGGTCTGGGTAGCTTTAACACTGTAAGGGTGTAACATTTCTGCCTGATAGTGGGATTTCTTTTGAGATTAGCCCCAGTTCTACACTATTCTTTTACTTATATTCTGAAGAAGAAAAGTATAAAAACATGATGGTATGCTTCTAAAGAGAATGAAACTTGGTCCCCACTAATGGAAGATGATGCTGTTGGAAAACAGCATGTAGATACCTCGACGGTGTTTATTAGTAGTTGAATTAAAATTCAATTTATAATTGAAAAAAATTTAAAAAAATATTCAAAATTAACATCAGAAAGTTTCTAGTTTTATCTGAAAGTAGTATCTGTTCAGAAATAGTTGTATATGTTGTTTTAATTCTTGACAGGGGGGGAGATTTTATGATATTGAGTTTATATAGTTGCATAAATGGAAATTTTGCCTATTTGTAAGCAGATTTAGGATCTCGTCCTTCATTTTTAGGGTCTGGTACTTCCTGCCTGTGGCCAAATAATTTATGATTTTTTTTTTTTGTTAAGCTTCTGCTTATAGGAGCATATCTAGAATTAATTAAAGGAATCCACAGTGATGCAGAATTTACCAGCTCTTAGAGTTGTCATTACCCCAAATATTTGAAAATTGCTGAAATTTAACATCAGTCAGTAGCTCTCTTTTACATCAGTAGTTAGGCACATTTTTCCTCTTCTTGCTGTGATAGAATGAACTATTAACTATTTAGAAGTGAATTGAGCATTCCCAGAAATAAAGCTATTTAGTTGCTCAAGACCTGGAGCTGGATTATTCCTCCGGACAGGAGGCATTTCTTTTGTTGTCGAGAAGTGAAGGAGAGCATCAAGGAGTGAAAGGAAATGAGGAGAAAATATTTCAACGTAGATTCACACTAAACCGTGGTCCCTTAGAAAAACTTCTGTTAAGATGTAAGAGTGCAGTGCTGAGTGGTGGATTGTAGTGTGCCATATGTTCATAATCTATTTCAGTAGTTTACTGCTTTTGCATCAATAGGGCCACTCTTGTCATGGCATAGGATGGAACAGAAGATCTATAAAAATTCTGAGAACCTGCAAAAAGAAGCAAACACTGATTTTTATAAGATGGGGATGTTTTAAGACAGAGTAATAAGAGGAAAAAAGGAGCTTGCAGCAATGCAAAAAAAGTTTGCAGTAATAAAAAGCCATCTGTTGAAATTTTTGTAAGGAGAGTGCTCTACTTTGTTGTATACATATGCTAGGTTGTGAAGCTACAGCAGTGATGTTTATTGCATCATTTTTCAGCTGTGGGACAGAAAAGGTACGTAGCTAGGGAGATAAATTACCTTATTCCTTCAACTCAGTGTATGAAGTATATTGCTTCTTAGTGTTCTCAAGTGATTGTGGGGTAGAGTAGAAGATGGTACATCAGTAAAGTCAACATCGCCATCAGTAGTAATGTGTGCATTTCAAATCAGTTTCGTGACACTGTTTTACATGCATAAACTTCTGACTTGGATTATTCAGCTTCTTTTAGTGAATTAACATACAGTGCTTTAAACAGCTCAACAAAACAAAAGGAAAAACAAACAAACAAACAAAAAACCCAACTGCACAGCTCTTATCCCAAGTTCCAGATATCTACACTCAGGTTTGCAGTGGTTTAACTGGGTTGATTAAATGCATGCTTTTCACTATGATGCATGCAGCTTTGTAGGCACATCTTCCCTTTCCTCTCCATCTTCTGCTCCAACCTTGTTGTTTTGGAGGCCTGTGTCCACGGTGAGTGCAAACTTTGCTAAAGCTGCCTCTCCGCAGCCCAACCGCAGCCCCACAGCAGAGTGCCAGGCCACCACTATCAGTTCACACAGTTGTCTCCAAGCAACCTTCTTGTGTTCAGGCAGCGCTGCACTGAGCCCAGTAGAGTTTGAAAGCCTGCGGGGCAGGTTTTGTTGCTGTAGGCATGTGGCTCTGCAGAAGTGCCTGTATCTGTTTGTGATCTCCACCGAGGTGGCCATGCAGTGCTGCGCTGTATTGTGTCAGCGGGTAGCTGAGGGCAAGCTTGGGAATCTGTGCATTCTAGTTAGGTAACACTGGTACAGCTCTTTCAAGCTGCGTATAAGTGTTGTCATTATAAAGGAGCATTAATAATGCATTTCAGTCCCTAAGCACCTTTCTGAGGAACTTTCTCAGAGGTGCTACTAATGGATAGACGTGAGTTTCTTGGCCAACCTTTGCCTTTAATTGGAAGAAGAAATCCAATACATCAATATTTTCCAAAGGTGTCTACAGCCTGCGTTGTTTGAAACATGATTTGTATTTTGCATGAAGTAAGATACATTTAAAATTGAAATTCTGATTGTCAACTGTTTGGATTAACAAGTATTACTGGTAGCATAGCGCCGAAGGCTGTCTAGCTCCTCCCAAACCAAACCCAAAGCCTTAGGGTAATGCCGTGTGCCTACAGTTGTGATTGCTTATATGACTAAGAACTCATCATGTGATGCAGCCCAGTTGTGGTTACTCCAACTATCAAAGTTATTTTGCTGCATCTTATGGGGGGATCTGTCATTGCTTTTCAGCTATGTAGTGCTTGCTTAAGTGTTTTTCTCTGGTAGCAGTTATCACTGTCAGTTTTTGCATTTTTCTTAAAAAGTACAAAAGGAATAATGAAATCAGTATAGAAATTCTAGTTCTCAGTATCATTTTCGCACACTGCTTATAGATTTGCTAATGAAACTTCTCAGGGGAAATACCATTAAATAAACCATCACTTTACTAGTTTGGATGACATCTGCACATCCTGACAGTAAAGTCAACTTGCCACAGGTTGACTAGCTTGAAGAGCAAGAGCTGATCCTGACAACTACAGATCGTACTTCAAATCCAGTGTTCCCTTCTACTGCAAGAAAAAAAGGTTGGATAAGCACAGTTGTAATACTTGGCCATGTGACTGTTTATGTCATTGTGTGATGTGGTTTCAAACAAATGTTTGAGAAGCCATCTTTGAAGGGAAGACTGGATTAATGAAGAAATTGTTAAATATGTTAAAAGTAAATGGCATGTTGGGAAATACTGTGAACAAACTGACAGGATGGAGGAGAGAACAGGAGGTTTGACTCCCAGAATCTTATGTGTATCAGTTGGCGCCACACTGTTGTGAAGCAGGATGAATGCCTGTTTTTTTCCCTTCATCTTTTTTTTCCCTACTGAGTACACAGATTAATTCAGAAGATTAATGGCTGTCTGGCTGTTCCCTTGCAAATTATTCATTATTACTTAATTAAAAGTCACAAAGCTTTTTAGCAATGCATGATGTTATCATCGACTCCAAATTTAACCTCCAATATTTAGATATGTGTCTTATGTAACTTGTTTTGCAGGAGGCTGCCAAATATGAAAAGAAAGTGATGGTGCTGGACTTTGTCACGCCTACGCCTCTGGGAAACTCATGGGGTAAATTTCTTTTTGTTGCAAGCCTGTTCTAAAAGAGCTTTACTCGGAGACTCTGATTCTCCTTTGAAATCAGCCACACTGATGTGAAAAACACATTCTGTTCCCTACTCTCAGGTCTTGGAGGAACATGTGTAAATGTGGGCTGTATACCTAAAAAACTGATGCACCAGGCAGCTTTACTGGGACAAGCCTTGCAAGATTCACGCAAGTATGGATGGCAATTTACAGAAGAAGGTAAAGGAGGAGAACAGTTTTTGCGGGTTTCTCATTTATTCTGAAAATTCAAGGTTGTTTTCACAGTCAAGTGCTTGTTGTGTTTAAGCATGTGAGGCAGCTTCAGAGAGACTACACATGAGCTTAAGTGCTTTTTAAGTCTAAAGCCACGGGGCTTATTGCTTTGCAGCTTCTGATCTGTTTATTAATAGCTTCTGATCATGTTAGTATTTGATAAGGTCACTGTTTGAATAAAAGCAATAAGGTACTACTGCATTTCTGAATGTAACACAACACCTAAGGGAATACCCCAGAATGTCCCCTATTAGAAACTTACTCATAGTCACGACCAAGGATTTCCTTTCCCTTAGTCTCTGTCACAGCTATGTAAGAAGATGCATTTTACTTTACACTAGCTCTAATGTGCATGGTTATAGGGTTGGGATTTGTTTAGGGTGTAATCTTGTAGAGGGGAACATGCAGAGGCAACTCTCAGAGATGCATAGTCTTCGTTTGTTGAGCAATGTCACCTGCTCACAGCATGTGTCAATAGAAAATTATTGATAATGCAGTCATCATTATCAATGATTTTCCATGTTTTAAGTCATATCTCTTCCACAGTGAGCTCTCGTGTGGTCTGTGCTGACATAATGCTTTGAATTGCAGTAGAGTTACCCTGGAATAAAAAAGCGTAATAAAAAAGAATAAGACAAAGGTGCCTGGGTCATGAAAAAAATCTGTCTGAGAATACAAGGTTGGCTATGGGAAAAGAAGAACTCACAGACTGAAAGATGAACCTTTTTCTTTTATTTTGAGCAGTCCAACACAACTGGATGACTCTGACAGAATCTGTTCAGAATTACATCGGTTCACTGAACTGGGGGTACCGGGTTTCACTGCGAGAGAAGAACGTCACATATGAGAACGCATATGGAGAATTTGTTGGGCCACACACAGTAAAGGTACTCCCTTGCCACGTTTGCTAGCTCTTCCTGCTTTCTGAATAGAGATGCTTTTCAAATAGAACAGCTTTTCCCTTGGTAGGACTGTGAAATATTCACTTTGGACCAATACTTTGTCCACAGGCAAAAAATAAGAGAGGAGTTGAGAAGCTGTATACAGCTGAGAGATTTCTCATTGCCACCGGTGAACGGCCACGCTACCTGGGCATACCTGGAGACAGGGAATACTGCATTAGCAGGTAAAACCAGAGAGGAATATGAAGTCATTTACTGTGTGCAAATGCTTCACCCCTGAGAGAGAGTTGTGAAGCATGAACAGGGCTACTTAGTTGCTGGTTTTCTTTCTTACATAACTTTTTGTTAGAGGGAAGTAAGCGGAGGAGAATAGCTACAGACAGATGTCAAGGTGCTAAAAACACTAGTGTCTATTAGACACCACAGGACTGTGGGTGGCTGGCTAGGATGGTTCTGCTTCTGACTGATAACAGCAGTAACTGAGAGTACCGTAAATCATGTGTGTTGTCTGTCATAACATTAATTCATCATCTCTGCCCCATTTACCAGTACACCCACTTCTTTGCTATTCCTTACGGTCTTTCAGTTCACGTACTGAAGTTTTTTTGGTAATGAAGAGCAGTCTGCTTGGGAGAAACCTCCCCGCTCAAATGTCAAGGAAAGGGGGAGTAGCAAAGCAGTCCATGTTGTGGAGCTGGTTGAAATTTATCTCTCTTCATGTATTGGGGCAGGCTTGAAACTCAAGCCAGTTTTTTTCCAGCTACTCAGTGAAGTGAATTCAACTTTTGGGAAGTCCTATTTCAAATGTCTGGTTAATTGATAAGACCAAACAATTCTAGCACAATTTTGCCAAAAAAAAAAAGTGGTATGCAGATAAAATGTGTTTTAATATCAGACTGACTTTTAAATTACTTAATGTAGAAACAGAAGTTGGAATTTCAGGCTTGAAACCTATAGCAATGAAATAAATAACTGGCATAATTGTGAAGCCAAAACACCATGTTGTATGTTTCCCTTCTAATAAGTAGTATTTAAATTAAAGGTAACAGGTAATATAGCCTGTGAAGTGGTGCTTTAAAATAACATTAAGGTGGAAGAGCCAGGGATGCCAGTGTTAAAGATTGAGGCTGTCTGTGTAATCTTCTCCAGGTTCCCCGGAGGATAGGAACTACGATGTACCCTTTAATTACAGAGTCACATTTTATTCCACCACAACATTTGCAGAGAGCATCTTTGTTTAGCCTTTGCTGTTGTTGGCTGAGAAAGAGACACTTATGTTAGATTTAAATCTTTGGAGAATTGCATTGCCAAACTCTGCCTCCGTGAGTCCCTGCTTCCTTGAGAAGCCCTGGATTTATAGTCCAGGTCCAAAGTGTGGTAAAACTGATGTAGCTTGATGAAGCAGTTGAAAGAAATGGAAAGCAGGCAAATAAACATGGTTTCCATAATTTGGTACTACTCTCTCTGCCTGTTACTGTGATTTGCATTAATTTGTTTCATTGTCTGTGTATATTTGGTGCTGTGTAGAATGCTTTAGCAAAAGGATACTGCTTCAAAGAAGTGAGGATGGTAATTTTATTTTAAAGCTGAACTCCTTCCTCTTCCTTTTAAATCTCAGGAGCTAAAACCTGCAGCAGAATATTTGAAGCAATATTCAGAGGGAAAAAACCCAACCTGCCATTTTTAACAATTTATCCTAAGTTTGTGTAAAAAAATCCTAAAAAATAAATTGTGACGATTCAGAATTTTCATGCTCTTTTTTTTGTGTCCTCCTAATTAGAACTTTTTAATGTCATTTACTGAGCCTGTATTACAGCTGAGTTTTAAAAAAAATTAAGTTGTTGTTTTTTTTTTTAGTGAGCAGATACAGGAATTAAGTCCTGTTCTTACAGAAGAAATTAGATAAATATAAAGCACAATGCATTCTTATGGTTGTCTCTAACATTCTTTTCTTTTTTTCCTTCTTGTGTTTTTTTTTTTTTTTTCCAGTGATGATCTTTTCTCTCTGCCCTACTGTCCAGGGAAAACCCTGGTGGTTGGAGCTTCCTATGTTGCCTTGGAATGTGCAGGATTTCTTGTAGGTCTTGGGTTAGATGTCACTGTAATGGTGAGATCCATCCTCTTGAGAGGATTTGACCAGGATATTGCAAACAAAATTGGCGAATATATGGAAGAACATGGAATCAAGTTTATTAGGGAGTTTGTGCCAATCAAGGTAGGCTCAAAGTGGTACATGACCACAATTGATTGCAATATACCTATCATAAGGTTTTCAGATGTAAATTATTTTAGTAAACACAAAAGTTAAATTTGCCATACAGTATCTGCTATGATATATTATGGGTTAATTTTTCATTTAAACTGAGTAAGTCTATGAATCTTATGTAACCAACAGGTACAATTTAGTCTTTAGTATTAACATTTTGTGAGATTCCAGAATTAATTGTATGCATAAGAATTAGATGGGTTAGTATATGTTGCAGTAAAAATGTTGTTACTCCTGCTCATCCTCATCCTGCAAATGTTGAATATAGTTAAATTCAGCAGTTGTCCTGAAATCTGTGACAGTTCTTGCAGGCTCATAGTTAAGCAGATGTATAATATCTTGTAAGATCAGGGCCAGTGCATCACAAATAGTCATATTTTTCATTGCCAGTTCTAAAATTCTCAGCCAGCAAATATTGCCTATGTCCCCAGGACCAGTGGACTATCCAGAAAAATAAGAGGGCTTTATAAGTATCCATCTATATCCTTTACTTGACAGAGTCCTTAAATACTTGCTCAGTTTTCTTTGATTGCAGTAGGAGTACTCATGCAGCTGGCTATGTACATGTATAGGCGAAGGCAGGTTGAAAAGCAGATTAGATAAACTCTAGAGCTTTTCTAATCTAAAATTGCCTTATCAAAGACTTCAGAGGATGCTAACAGTATTTTTCTTAATGATTTTTTTCTCAATAATTAGTGCTTATTTATTATGAAATGGGAAATAATGTATTAAGCAGTTTTCAATTTGGCATCAAGCCAGCGTGTTATCGAGTTTAACGCTTTGGGGATTAAAGCATTAAATCGAATGAAAACTGTTCATTTTCACATTAAGAAATGCTCGTGCCAGTTACCATGCTGTGGATCTGACCCCCTCTCACAGAGTGTAAGAGATGTGCTGTGAGAAGTCAAAGTGGATGTTTCATGGAACTTTGGTTTTGTGAACATTTGCATTGCAGAAGTTCCATGTTGTATGAAAAGCAGGGATGGTTATCTAGCTTTTGTTTCATACGTAGCTTTTTGTAGCTCTTCTGGGGGATGGGAAAGAAGGAATCTGATTTTACAAGTAGATGATTTCAACTAAATGACAAGCGGTCTCCTCCAGATACACCCTGTGAAGAGAAGTCCTGTTACCCTGGTCACAGAATGCACTTTTCTGTATTTTACCTTGTCCCTTCACTACATGGCTTCGATTTCAATGCGAATAAAAATGCTCTGGTTTTAGTTGAGCATATCCTTAAACTTAAATTGCTGGATATGTTTTTAGCAGGTCTTCTCATCGCATTCAGAGACTGTTTTTGAAGTTATGCATGTTGTGCTTATTGAAACCCTTCCTTGGGACATTTGAAGACAGAAGATGAATTGTTATAAGTAATAGTGCCTTTGAATAGGAGCAGTTTAACACAGTGATCCTTTAAAGTTGGTAGGATGGTGCAGAAAGTCTGGGCATTTATTACTTAAAGAAGGGGAAGAGAACTTCATCAGAAATTTTGATTTTTCTTTCTTCAAATATTGAATATGCAGTAAAAACTGGGGCAGCTGCTGAAAAGTACTTTTTCTTCTGAAGAGTGAACAGTGAAAATTTCCCAGAAGGAAGTTGTGTTGCACACGTAGGTGTCTCTTGTATGTCCAGCCAGCCGTGGGAAGCAGCTGGGAACCTTGCTGTTCCTGGGAGGTAAAGGGGAGAACTGTGGCTGATGGTCCTTTCCTCGCTGCCCAGTGAACATTGGTGAGGACAAAAGAGAACCCACCTATGTAGCTTTGAAGTCCATTCACTTGTTTAGTTGATTTATTTAGCAGAGGAAAAAGAAGTGTTTGGGAAAAAAGCCAGGGGTATTGCTCTTTCTGCTTTTTGTTTGTCTGTTATATGGGGGGTTGGGGTGTGGAAGGAGAAGTATTTTGGGGTTTGCTTTGTTTTAACCAAACCTTTATTTTTTTATTACTCTGAACAAAGAGCACAGTTGCAAAAAGATTCCCCATTGTTTTTTGGGCTTTTTTTTTTTTTTTGCTTTGCTGGAATAGGCAGTACCCTGCTGCATTACTTAAGAGAGAGTGTGCAGCTGGATCCATAGCTAAAACTAGGAATATTTATTTCAGCTGACTCTGGGGAACCCTAGAGAGGTTTTTTTTCTTAAGTTGCTGGTGTTTTTCCAGCCATTTAGAGCCAGCTGCTGCCCTCTCCTGCAAGGCCATGGTGGCTTTACATGTTGGACCTGATATCATTCAAACAAGGCAAAAGCCTGTTCTGCTGAGGGCTGGGCTGTGACTGTGGCTTCCCATGGGTGGAAGGCATGATTGTGGTTGAAGAAAATGTTTGATGGTGTTTCTAGGTCTTGCAAGAGTTGCCTTCCTCCTCACCTCCTCTGTCCCCAGTTGATAAAGCAGCTCACGTGCTGGGTGGGCTTGGACAAGAAATTAGCTATCAATCAGGTTTTATAAACAGAAAGAAGGTGTCGTTGTGTTGGTCATAAGAATAAATTCATGGAGATAAACCAAAATGTTTAAACATGCAGGTAGTAAACACAAATGTAGAGAAAGGTGAAAATGCCTTTAGAATGAATGAGTGAATTTTACGTTGTGGATGAACACTCGTTTTCAATGATAAGATATATGGTGGGACAAAGATATATTTGCATATCTTTATTTGACACTAAAGCCCTTTTCTTTTTCTTTTTCTTTTTTTCTTTTCCTCTAATGTTGTAGGTTGAGCAGATTGAGGAAGGAACTCCTGGAAGATTGAAAGTTACAGCCAAGTCCACAACAGGGAACCAAATAATTGTAGGAGAGTACAATACTGTGAGTCCTGTCTATGTACATTAAGGACCTGAAATAGCCTTCCATTTAATGTCAAGATTTTGTGGGGTGTTCTTATCCATAGTTTAGAGTTTTTGAAATTATTTTTAATCATTCCAACATGCTAATTGTGCACAATCAACAGGTAATTCATGTGACAAAAGTCCCAGAATCCACGGGCATGAGTTCCATGTGCCTCAGCAGATCACTTGCATACTTTTGAAACCTGTTTTTTAGCTTAGGGCTGTAGCTGCGCTTGGTCATGTGCAATCAGTTGCAGGATTTCTCCCCAGTGGGATATTTGTCATAAACTATAAGTAGTGATTTATAATAACCTCTAGAGTAACTAAAGCATGCTCTTCTGGCATTAGCACAAAATAATGGACTGTGCAAGAGCTAAACAGACAGGTGTCAATTCTTCTCAAGACCTGTTGACGCAGCATCTTCACAAAAAAAAACAACTTATGCCCTGTGGCAAGTCAGTCAGGGAACTTCATTACGCACTTAAAACAGTAAAATGGCAGTGTGCAGGCATGCTATTATATTTTTGATTGACTGTTTCCATCACTCCTCGCCCCACTCATTTTCTTAGACCTTGATGCTGAAAGGAAAAAACCAAAGCCAACACGTTTTGAATGAAGTATTTGGAACTACACAGAATGCATAAAGACAAACATTTGCCAGATTAGGATTTTAGACTGCAAACACTGTGTGCCAGTGACCTCCTTTACCTGTGTGGTGCATCAGTCATCCCATGACAAGGACATGCCTCAGTGCATCCGAATGCTAATACTATGAGAAGGTGTAACAATAAAAACAGTACTGTTGCACAGCATTGTAATTCTATTTTTCCTGGTCCGTAGTAGTGAAGGCTTTTTAGCTAGCAAATCAATGCCATCTTTTCTTCACAGAAGCTTGTGATTTTTTTATTGCTACTACATCTTTCACGGAAATGCTGCCACTCTTCACCTAATCTGTGAGCTGTGTGTGATGCATTTTAAGACCTTCAGCTCGGAAGATCTTGGATCTTGAAGCAGATCTTGTATTCCTTCAGCACAGTTCTTAGTTGTCTATGAGAAGCATTGTGTAGCAACCTGGGCAGTTACCCAAGTCTGCAAAGCACATAGCACTTTTTCTTGTGATAGCATAGGCTGGAACTTATTTTGCTTGTTAAGGTATGGGCAGTTAACCTGGGCAGTTATCCAAGTCTGCAAAGCACATAGCACTTTCTCTTGTGATAGTTTAGGCTGGAACTTATTTTGCTTGTTAAGGTAGCCGAGGTGATAGGGTGGGCAAGAGTTTGGCCTGATCTGTCCATCATTCTGAACAAATGTTCAAACAAATAATACTCAATATTCAACAAGTAATATTCTTTGGCAGTGACTTGACTGAGAGTCCATTTAAGTCAATGATATTTTCTGATCAAAATAAAGGTTATTTTATGGTCTTTTTATTTGCCAAAACATATGAGTTTCCTTCCTAAAGAGCCCTTTCCTTGTGGAGCATTTTGAGGTCACCTGCTCTGGTATAGATATGGTATAACACTTTGGTATAAAAGTGTGAGGAAATTAAGAATCTGATCCCAATCAAGTTTAGAATACTCTTGGCGTATTTTTCGAGGGAAAGCAATTTGGCAATTTAATCTTATCATTAAAACCTGGTATTACGAGGTCATGGTGGTGGTGTGGCTTGTCTTGAACTCCACGAATGTATAATTGGTAACAAATGTATTCATCTTAATGTGACCAAGCCTTAGAAGCTTATCCATAATATCTAATGAAGATAATAGGTAGCCACATGCAAATGCACTTCGGAGGTTTTAAAAAATCAGTAACGTGCCTTGCTGTTTTGCAGGTGTTGCTAGCAATCGGAAGAGATCCATGCACAAGAAAAATTGGTTTGGACAAAGTTGGAGTGAAGATCAATGAAAAGTAAGGACAGATGTCTGTGTGATACTGACTACTGAGCTTGTGGCATTTACTGTTGGATTGGTAGTGGTACACAGGCATTTATACACTTTGAGGAAAATTTTGTCTCCTGTTTGCATAGGCTTGGATAGGAGACTGTGCAGCAGAGAGCTGTATTTTCTCTCATAATACTGCCTCGTTTGCTTTTTTGATACTAAAATGTCAATTTCTGAATGCTGGAAGTCAAAAGTGCTTGTTCCATTCTGTCTAGGTTAACAGGTCAGTCTCAGCTTCTCCGGTGACTGGGCTTTCTAGGATCTGCCAGTTGTTCCTTGTACTCTCTTATTCCCATCTCCTTGTTTTTATCTCTACCGCCTCTTGGGGCAGAGATCTGTTTGTTCATATGGGCTTTTAGTGTGGTGGGTTTTGTTTACATTTTTGATGTAAACGCTACTATGTGTATATTTTGAAATACAAGGTCAAAGTAGCGTTCCTTAAACTCACAGTTGGAGTTGGTGATATTTTTTAGCTTTTGGAGGAGTTTATTTCTTGCCTTAGAGCAACCCTTGGGAAAAGTCTGCGTCCTGTAGAGACGCATTTCACGTTTAATGTAGTGAGGTCGTAGCACCAGGGAGTGGAGCTATTGGTAACGTTTTCAATATTGGTAACTAAAGCATCTTCTGGGCATGTGGCACCCGACAATCTTCCCTTGGAAAGAAAGACACAGGACCTGAACTTGACTTGGTAGCCTATGGAAAAAGAGTACAGAGGGCAGCTTATATATGAAGGTGGTGACTGATGTTGCTGAAGGTTACTGTTGTGATGTTCTATTTGGTCCACTCAAAATTGGCAGTCTTGTAGAACAGTACACGTCTTTCTGACATCAGGACAGCTATTACTCACTTAATAGAATGGACTATAAAATTATTAGTATAAACTGCATATTTGTTAACAAGAGCAAAATTGAGGAAGTTGGATTTTAATATAGGAATCACCGCTGGTCCCTCAAGTAACTGTGTGACTGTTTCTGTGCCTGTCTGATTAGGTTTCCCTGTTACATGTGTTTCCTGTAGTGATTACTGCACTATCTCATTTATTAATGAGTAGGAAATATTAATAATTAAAAACTTCCATTAGGTCAGTGTGCTTATAGCTGAAAAGCTTGCTGGTTCTCCCTTAAGTAGGGTGTCTAACAGCTTGACCTGTCTCTGTGTAGAAGCCTGAAGGGTGAGTTCATACAAACTGCTTCAGCCACTGGACTGAAATGTCAGTAGTGGAGGAATTCTTTTGTCCTGCTGCTTGAGTGGGAGAATGTCTCTTCCTGTCATTCCTCAAGGTTGTCAGTACACAGCTCAGCTAGCAGTCGAGGGTGCTAGAGGAAAAGGATTTATGCTTCACCAAAGAATGGATCCAGGAGATGAACGGCAACTTCATGGGCTAACTCCTTATCCTCTGTGTAAATTCCTGTAGTTTTGGTCAAATTTTCCCTTCCTTACATTCTTGCCCAAGATTGTTAGATTGTGAATATGACTTCTTTCCCTTATACTTCAAATACACATCTTTCTCTTAAAACTAAAGGGCTGAACTCCTGCAAAGTTATTTACACCTCCAGTCTTCACAGCAGAACACTTAGATCTTTTTTTCTTGTTAATCCAAATTGCAGAACAGGAAAAATTCCTGTCAACGATGAGGAGCAAACAAACGTGCCCTATATCTATGCTGTTGGAGATATACTGCAGGACAAGCTGGAACTCACACCAGTGGCAATCCAGGCAGGAAGATTGTTAGTTCAAAGGCTTTACGCTGGGGCAACCACTAAGGTAAGGAACCAGTTGCCACAAAACACGGTCGTTGCTCTACTTCTGAGTAGAGTGCAAGTCTGCTTGTTTATGGAAAACTCAGTAGGCTTTTCAGGATTAGCTTTGATGATCACTTTAATTTTCCCCTTGCAAAGATATTACTGCAGATATGTTCTGCTAATTGTGCAGGATGAAATTTATTCCTTATGGATTAAGTCATAGTATCTTTTTTTCCTATTAAAAGTTTTATTTTACTCTCAGAGTATAATGATAATAAAATTAACTGAGATCATTTAACTTGTTTTTAGCTCTACCACCTTCCCTAAAAATCAGCAATCATTACCATCCCATTAAGTGCTTTAGCTCTAATTCATAGGCAATTTACTAAACCTACCTACAGTCCCTAAATAGAATGTAATAGGGGTTTGTGATGCTCTTCATTTTCAATGTTATTTCCACTATTTTTTTCACTTCTCATCCATGTGTTTTCAATGCAATACATAGTTATAACTGAATATGGACAGAAAGGAAGATCAAATGCACCAATAAGTCAGCACGTATTTGTACCCGAGAAGTTGAATTCATCAATTCGTTGCTTATTTTTCATACTAGTGCAATTTATCCTAGTATCTCCTTTTCATACTAGTCAACTTATCCTAGTCCAAACAGAAGTAACACGGGTACTCATTTACACCTTATCTTTAAATCTGGAGGAAGGTGCCTTTTAAGAACTGTTATCCAGGCACCATTGATGTGGGTGCTCGTCTCACCTTCGTAACCATAGGGTATGAGCATAAAGGCTTTTCTCTTGTAGATCCTGCTGTATTCATATCAAGTTCAGCTGTTGGCCAGATTTAGAGCTTGATTGAGTTGTTTGTTTTAGGTTGGCAGGTATTGTGGTAACAAAATCCTGAATCAGTGTGCATAATGTCATTACTTCAGCCAGGCAAAGTTTAGGAAAACCATAGCTGGAGCCAGATTTTTTTTTTTTATTGCTGCAATGCTGTGGATATGTCTTAATTTACATTTTATGCCAGATAACTCTCTTTCAAGGTATGAAAATCCTTATGCTGCCAAAGAAAGAATCATCTCTTTCAATGAATCCAAGAAATGAGTAACTACTTAGATGGGATCCTGGCTTACATTGCTGGAAGGGGTGATTGTATGAAACATAATGAAGTATTATGGATAGGTGGGGAAAAAATAGTAAGCAGCATCGTGATCCCCAGTCATGAAGGAAATTAATTAGAATGAAATTCTTTAAAAATTAGGATTACTAGAAATTAAATTGTTCTGACCAGCCTGCCAGTCTGCTATGGCAGATTTAGTGGATATGGGGAGAGCAGTGGATGTTGTTTGCTTTGACTCTAGTAAAGGCTTTTAAGACTGTCTCCCGTAACATTCTCATAGAAAAACCAATGAAGTACGTGATCCCCAGTCATGAAGGAAATTAATTAGAATGAAATTCTTTAAAAATTAGGATTACTAGAAATTAAATTGTTCTGACCAGCCTGCCAGTCTGCTATGGCAGATTTAGTGGATATGGGGAGAGCAGTGGATGTTGTTTGCTTTGACTCTAGTAAAGGCTTTTAAGACTGTCTCCCGTAACATTCTCATAGAAAAACCAATGAAGTGCAGGCTAGATAAGGGGACAGTGAGGTGGACTGAAAACTGGCTGAACGGGCTGTGACCAGCGTTACAAAGACCAGCAGAAGACCAGTAACTAGTAGTGTGCCACAGGGTTGGATACTCAGTCCAGTACTGTTTAACATCTTTGTTAATCATCTAGATGATAAGACAGAGTGCACCCTCAGCAAGTTTGCAGATGATAAAAAACTGGGGGGAAGTGACTGATGCACCCAATGTTTGTGCTGTCACTCAGAGGGACCTTGTCAGGCTGGAGAAATGAGCTGACAGGAATCTCATGGAGTTCATCAAGGAGACGTGCAAGGTTCTGCACCTGGGGAGGTGTAACCCCATGCACCAGCACAGGCTGGGGACCCACCAGCTGGAAAGTAGCTGTGCAGAGAAAGCCTTGTGGGGGGGGGTCTGGAGGACAACTTGACTGTGAGCTAGCAATGTACCCTCTTGGCAAAGAGGGCCAGTGACATCCTGGGCTGTATCCTGGTAGAGCATTGCCGGCAGGTGGAGGAAAGTGACCTTTTCCCCTCCGCTTGGCTCTGGTGAGATGAGTTTGGAATTTATGTCCAGTTTTGGGCTCCCCAGTACAAGAAGGACAGGGCAAGCCCAGCAAAGGGCCGTGACTGTGATTAAGGCAGTGGAGGATTTGGCACGTGAGGAGAGGCTGAGACCGCTGGGAATTTTTGTACCCAGCAGAAGAGATGCCTTGGGGGGCTCTTATATCGATGTGTATTTGTACCTGATGGTAGAGAGTAAAGAAGAGGGAGGTGGACACCTTTCAGTAGATTCAAATTGAAACACAGGAAAATTCTAATTAAAAATAACAAAAAACTTCTTTACAGTGAGGGTGCTCAGGCCCAGAGATTGCCCAGAGATCACTGTAAAGCTCCAGTGAAGTCAGGGCTCGTGGTATGTGATTAGGCACACAGCATCAGCTGCAGTTCTAACTATCCAGACGGCTCTAGTTCATGTCTTTGGTTCTTTGGCATCGCTTAAGCCACAGTTGATACAAAAGATGGTGGTTTTTGGATGTTGGTGGTGCCTTTGCAGCATCCGGAGCTAAAGATAGCATGCTTTGTAGACACAGCTGAGCTGTCTACTTTTTATCTCCAGTTTGACCTGTGATCTGGTACATTTTTAAACAGGTCTCTGAATTTCCTATTCCTTTTAATCTGTGCATACTAATGTCAGTGTGGCTTTAAACTGTCGCTCTCTTCTTGCTCTAGTTAACGCCTCTGAGAGGGACAAAACCAAAACTGTAGCTTAATTTTAAAAAATTTAAAAAGGAACAGGTAGCTTTCAGAATTATGAATAATCCAACTTTTCATCCCGTCTTTCAGACTGCTGAATTTTTACCCAATGTCCTGATCTTATTACTGATGTTGTGTTGTTTGGTTTGTTTTGAATGCCACACAGTGTGACTATTTGAATGTTCCAACCACTGTATTCACGCCTTTGGAGTACGGAGCCTGTGGGTATTCTGAAGAGACTGCGGTGGAGAAGTTTGGGGCAGAAAACATTGAGGTAAATGCCTTAGTTTCAACTGGATTTTAAGTTCCCAATTTGTAAATTAAAATAATGTTAAGAGTCAATCAAAGCATCGTTTTGTATTCTGATGCAAGGGCAGGAGGGGACTAGGTACATTTTTGTCTTCCTTGGCAGTTCCTAGACATGCTATAAAAATAGTCCCCAATTTTGATAGCTCTAGTTGCAAATATGTTCTATTTTTGGCAAACAGGGCTTGACGGTGGAATATTTGGGTTTTTTTTTTTAAAAAAAGAATTTCTTTGTGTCTGCAAATACTTCAAGATGAATTAAAGCTGGATATGTTCTGGGAGTAATGTGTTGGTTTTTATGTCAAAGTGGAGCTTTTTGTAACTACAGTGCGGCAAATTCCTTGCTATAGTAGGAATCCTTTTACTTTATAAAGCCAAACGTTGTTATGCTCATTTTACCTGTTTATTTTGACTATTTAAGGAGGTATGTGCTTAATTTTACTCATGTGAATGATCCCTTTTCAGTCACTGGGATTGCTGGTCAAGAGTGAAATTAGAGATATGTAAGCATTTAGTGCCTAAGGCTGTTCTTACAAAATACTGTACGGAACACATTACAGAAAGCATGAGGGGAAGGAGTCTGACAATAAACTGAATTTTTATGTCCTGTGAAGATCACCTGAGGAGCGTTATTTGGGGAAGTAAGAAGATAAGTGGTGGCTCATGAGAGCTTGAGAACTTGTCTCCCTCTTGGCTTCGTCAGTTATGTTTTTTGACTTGGACTGTGGAGAAAAGAAGTAAATATGACTTAAAATGGCAGTGTGTCAAGTACTGTTAACCTGACTACAGGGCAGGGATTTAAACTATGTCCTCCCCACAAAGTTTACATAAACAGAGTCAAATTTTTGAGTCAAATTCTTGCTGTTACATGTGTAACACTGGACCCTTCTTTGTGGAAAACGCACTTTCCATTTTCAAAGCCATTTTTGAAAATTTGCATGCAGAAGCATTTGTATTGTGGCTAAGTACTAATTTGGTTTGTTCTGACCTCTCTGTCATGTCACCATATTGGCTTTTTCAAGCTTCACTGGGATTATTGAGTTGAATCTGTCTCTCAGACCCGTTAAATTTCAGTTTCAGATAGCCATGCTCATAAATGCTTTGTAACCCAATTCATATGAAAAAACATTGAGCTGTTTTTCCTAGCTTGTGGAGGGACATATTTTTACTGGAGTTGTGATCAATTAAAAACTTCTTTCAAATAGTAATCAATCTGAGGTTAGCTTCTAAGGGGAGCTGTTGAGAGTTCTGGGTAGAACTGTGTCTCAGAACACCCTGAGATACTGAAGTGGGTGAGCAACCTTGTCTGCAGCTAGACATCCGGCCAGTGATGTTGGCTGGGGCAGACAGAAGAATGTGGGTTTGCTGTGTTTTTTGTCAAATGTACTTTGCATTTTTCATTTCTCTAAGATTATGTAAATCTAAGAGAGCACACGCAAAGCACGCCCTCATCTCTCCTAAACCTGGGCTCTGAGGTTATGTCTTCCCTTTTTCTGCTCTGAGAAATATTTTTGCCCTAATCCTGAGTAGGTCCAGAGACAGTACAGTCATCTGCGAGGGGAGCTTGTATGTGTCTAATTTAATGAGAACATGGTGAACTGCATCCTGGAAGTGTAATACATGTATGGCTTTTTTTTTTTTTTTTTTTAATTTTTGG